TCTAAGAGGGTATACATATACATATTTATGGTCATATATAGTTTTGTGAGGCACAATTTTGTGGCATGTGAGCATGTCTGACAAATTACGGTCTGCTGCAAATGAAAAAAGTTTGCAGAACACTTCAAAGTAAATAAAATATACACTGCAGTATGGTATTCAGTGTTTGCATAACATATTAAGGCATCTGTGTGGTACAGATGGACTCTTTGGCTATCCCCAAAATAAAATATCCAGTGGAATTAAGTGTGGGGACTTGTACTTTTGACTTTACACAGACAACCAGACGATGTAACTGCTTGTACCATACATAAATAGATTTTGATGGTGGGTTCATCCCAGAGTTAGTTTAAAACAGCCTTTGAACTGCTGTAGCTGATGTGGTTTTGTGAAACAGAACATAACTAGCTTTTCACAGCTGCATTGCCATTTTTGCTATTGTGCTGCATAACAACTACTGGTCTGCTCAAGTACCTAATACGCATATGCACAAAGTTGGATTTTGAAGGGCATGTAAACCTGATGATTTTAAAATGTGCACTGTGTGGAACAAAACTGGTTATCAATTTGATGTGTATAGAGTGACCAGTGGTGCTCATATTCAAAACCAGTTAAGTGGCAATAAGTACTTTGAATTTTGTTCCTTGTCTCCTCAAACTTTCATTATTGTGATAAGTTTATATTATTTAAAATAAATTGTCAAAAGTGTGAAGATAATTTGTAATCATCCTGTACAACAATCATATTAATTTTATGTTGAACAGCCAGGGATGTAATGGCATTAATAATGAAATTAATGCAATAAAATCTTCTTGGGTGACAAGCCATGTCAAAATGGAATCGTAGTCCGTTTCAGAGGCAGTCTCTGTCTCCATCCCTGATGATGGATACACAGAGTGTCTCTGAAACAGACTAAATGAAATAAAATATTCTTGGGCAACAAGCGATTCCATTTTGACATGGCTTGTTGCCCAAGAAGATTTTATTGCATTTAGTCGCTGTGAAAGCCTCAAGTCTTAAGTGAAATGAATGTTGTAAACTTTGTTGGTGTATGGATCAAACCTCAAGTGTAACATTTCATGAAGATGAAAGTTTGATTGTGTAATCCCTTGTGTTGTAGCAATGTTCACTGACTTTGCTTGATGGGATGGGAAGACAAGTCCTTTATTTATTGCCTCTCTGCAGTTCTACCTTATGTGATAGAGTCCTGCTAAATGATGTAACTCTGCTTCTGATATATGTATTGGTTTAATTGCCGGTCACAGTGGCTGCGTGGTCTGATGCGTGGGCCTTGTGCCGCTTGGACACTGGGACTGTGGGTTCAAATCCCACTCAAGGCATGGACGTTTGTCCGCGTATTTCTGTGTTGTGCTGTCCTGTGTACAGGTAGAGGCCTTGCGACAGGCTGATCACTTGTCCAAGGAATCCTACCAAATGTCTAATAGATTACGCAAACCTCCAAAAAGAGGAAAAAGCAGGACGAATGTTATAGGAAAAGAAGAAATATATTGGTATAATTTCTGGGAGGAATTTAAACTCACAAAATCAGTTTATTAGGATACATATGATACATTGTCTTCTGTTAGTGTTCATTTTTGATAGATGGTCTATTCTGTAATTCCTTTACTTGAAATATATCTAACATTGTCATTTTAACTGCACTCTACTTACTCACAGTAAATCTTTGACAATACAACCACGTTTTTGTTTTCCAAACATAAAGCAATAAAAATTCTTCACATGAACTGAAAGTGATGTTACAAGGTTTATTTGCAATAGCAGTCAGTTATTAGTTTGCTAAAATTGTAAAACTGAACACAAGAAACTTTGGTCGGTATTTTAAGTAACTCATTAGTTCCTAGAATGGGGTACTTCCATGTTTAAAATTTATAATTAAATTCATGTTACAATAACTTCCCTGAAAAGTTGGTACTTTGCTGATTAACAAAATTGTTTCTCTTTATGAAACCAGAAGATTCATTAACATTTTTGCAAAAATCCATTGTGTGACCCTATCTTAAGCCAGCTGAATAAAATGCACATATTCACACAGTTTCTCAAATATCCACTTTTCTATTAATGTCTTCAAGTCTCACAAATGGTTTTGTTTCTTCACTAAATTTATGTAAGTACTTTAAACTTTATAATTTCTAGTGCTTGCCTAGATTTATATAGCATATTAATCATGTACAGTTACTGCAGAATGAAGTAATTCAAATAGAGCTAATGGTATTTCAAAACATGTATTTTAACTGTTAATGGATATGACATAATACAATGTGATACGCATCCAGTGCATTTGCTAGCAATCATAGGAGTGCCATTATATATATATATATATATATATATATATGAAATGTTGATGTTATGAGAAATGTAAATGTTGTGGAAGTTAAATAGTTTCTTATTTTTAAGTACTTTTAACCAAGATTACTAACAGGATATGGGACCCTGGTTTGCACAACCAGCTACATGTTTGACATAATTTTGTTTATGGTATTGACTACCATTAAATCTGTCAGTGTCTCCAGAACTCATCAATCTGACTGGTTTTAATTATAGGCTGATTTAAAGTAATGCTTTGCAAACTCTTCTCCTTTCAGAGTATATATGTGGTGCCTTTTGCATGGATAGAATTATGACACAGTTTAAAAAATTGCTGTGTTAATCTAATAGTCACGAAATTTTGTAATATTTTATGTGTGTGTGAATTCAGTGCAAAACCATCACTTGGTCAGCTTGGCTATTGAAAGGATTTAAATATACTGGGTTAAAGTAAGAACAGAAATTTTGATGTTACAGATGCCAATTTCAACATTCCATGAAGAAAATAATCCATGTAATGTTGTGTGTCAAGTACTTCCTTGCTATTGTCTTTCTGTCAGAGCATTTTACAGACAATGACTGGTTCTTCCCATGTATGTAGCATACACATGGCTAATGTTGTGTATAGCACAGACCGTTAATCATGTCTTCTCACTGTGGAGGCCAGGGTTCATGTTCAGGCCAATCAATTGGTGTTTGCAGTGGACTTAGTGGTACTAGGACAGGTTTTTCTTAAGTTCTTGGTTTTCCTGTCATTATCATTCTACCACAGCTCCATATTTATTCATGTATCATCTGGATGATAGACAGTGGGGCCATTAGTGGTCCCATCATAACAGATGCTTTCTGATCATTACTAAGTAGAAAAGTACTAAAAGACAGAGGAAAATGGATATAAGGAAGTATCTATTACACATGTTTTCCAGTCTTGTTTGACCACAGCAGTGGAATGTGTTTATCTTGGCAGTATAATTTGATATATCACTGCTTTCCTTCTTTTCTGTATTTATGTGACATGATTTATCTTGATCTGTATTGCTAGTTTGGTGAGATATGAGCTACAGTCTTGTTCTCCTTTACCACACAACTCAAGGCCATACTTCACGTCTCACAGAAGCAGCTTTACATATTTTGTACATATTTTCTGTGTTAAGATCTCTGCTAGATATTGTTTAAAACAGGATGTTTATACCTTACAAACTGAAAGAATTTTTCTGTTATTGGAATCATATGTCCATCATGCATAAATATTCATTACGTGGTACACGGCTTAAAGGACACTGGTCATACTTTGGTGACATCACAGTGCAGTTCAATTACCATAAGCATTCTTGATATAAGTAGTTTCCAACCTAATAAAGAAATTGTTATTGTAACACACACTATTAAACAAATGTATTTTTCAGCTGAACTGATTACCCTACACATATATACTTTTGATGAACTACTATTTTAACAAGTGTCAGTAGCACAGTTTTAAATTTGGATATACAAAAGAATTTTAAGAAAACCCTTTACTTTGTTCTTGAAGTGAAAATGCAACAACTCTGTAATCATATATAGTGCTTCATTTTTCTGTTCAAATTTTTAAAATCCTTGATCAAGTAGGTGGAAAATACATTTCTATTTTACACATGCTAGAAACTGAGTATGATGGTTAACAACTGCACAATTCGATGTATAGATGGAACCATATGTCTCCAAACAATTTCTTTGTTTCCTTACCTGGTAAAATAATTTGAATGCCAGTCTGTAATTTTTGTATTTATTATGAAGTAAATTAGTCAGCTTTTTTATCTTCAGATCCAAAGATAAAGTGAAGAGTGAGAAATTATGCACTGAAATATATTTTTCCTTGAAAGTAGGAGAAGGAATTATGAATACATTCTGCATCACATAAAGTATAATAAATTAGCTATGCTACATGTATTTTTATGATGTCGGTGTTTACCATGTTTGTTTCATAGGTACAATATTTGTATTAGAACTCAACATGGTCAGTATGTCCAATTCTTGGAGGCGCTTGATTGTTTCTTCTGGCCAGTTTTTTGATGAAAAGTTCCGAGGACTGGGATGTGGAATTGAACCAATCTGTTAAAGAGTGCACTGTTACTTAAGCATTATTCTGTGAAAATAGCTAGGAGAAAATATTATTAAATTTATTACATATTTCAATCCAGTTGCAAACATGTATTTTGTTTGTACTTCACAAAATATGAAATATTCCAGTTTATGGTACTTGTTAACCAATTAATATTGGCAGTTTACTTCTAAAATTTTAAAGAGAAGGAATTAAGAGTGTACTTTACTGAAATAAGGACCATTAAATAGTAGTCAGTGACACATCTGAAAACAATTAGTTTTTAAATCATTTTGCAACACATATTCAGTGAATAGAGCACAGTGAAATTTCAACACATTGCATTGCTGCTCAGAGTAATGCATTTAACTGATGTGAAAGGCTTTAATCAGTGTACAAAACAGACCAGGGTTTGAATGAATGACTCTCTGGATGTGAGACCAGGCCCACAAAATAAATGTATGTTGCACTGGGTGCTTTTACTTTTCCTGTCTTCCTTTAAATTGTGTCATTTGATTTCGTTCTTATCAATGTATTATGAAGGGTTTTTTCTGCACAAAATTAAACCATGCCAAATAATGTAAGGTTATTACTTTTATTTTTGTTTGAAGTTCTGTGCCTGCAACAGCTAAATTAGCCCTTGTCTCAGCAAACTTCCCAATGGCTACAATTACTTCGACTTGCAGGAGCAGCAGAACATCGCGCAAGGCTTCATCACATATGTTATTCACTGATCGTCGATCTGAAGCCTGTCAATCAAATCATAATATTATAAATTATAATTAGTTTCCATTGCCTTGTTAATAATCACAGCCTGCATACCTAGATTATTCAACATACCACATATTAAGATCTGAATTCGATTCAGTTCTTTATTATTATTGGTAACTTATGTGGTTAGAAAATATTTATTAGGTGTTTCCTATGCTAAGCAAACAACACCTTATGGGCTTGTCCATGTTTGTCTCTCATATCTGTCAGCCATTCTTGAGCTGAAAAGTGACACATGGATGGGCCTATAAGGTGTTCTTCACTTCCACTAAATTGATAACAACACTTAAGTAGCCTCTGATGTCTTGTTAAAAATATGTTATATGGTATGTACACAACAGTAATGCATTACTTTATGTAGTTTACTAAGCACCTTAAGCTCTGCTGGAGTGATGTTTTTACCGCTGTTTGTCATGAAGGCCAGTGGACAATAATTGTATACAAATGCATGTTGAAAGAATGTATCTGGATCACCACAAAGCTTCTGAAATAGACCCCAGAACTTCCGGCCGCTCACTTCACTACGTTTACATTCAAGTCCCAACACCTGTCGGGATGGATGTTCCTTTTGTGGCCGCCCAACATGACCAGATATCCTCAACCATTCCCGTACAATTTTCACCTCACCAAATGGAACCTACATCAGTAACATCCATTATTGTGTTATAAAGTATTATGATAAGACAATAACAATGCAATTTAAGTATATATAGGCATATGTAATTTGTCTATATAAACATGTATTATATAAAATGTCAACACAATATTTTTCTGTATTTATTAAATAATCATATTGTGGCTACATATTTCAATGTTCAAATCAAGCCACAATGATATACCAATATATTTACATATGTCTGCAACATTTTTTTTACTAAAGTATTACTTAATTTAAGTATTGTGTCTCTATAGTTGCATTTAATATTATTGTGGCAATTGTATATAGTATAGCTGATATTAGTCCTTAAAATTATTAGTGAAACTGTTCAGTGCTACAGTATTCTAATACCAGTAAACTGTTTATAAAGTTTTGTGTTATGGTGTGTGTTACACTGCATTCATTCATCAGAGGCTGAAGTTCAGCATGGAATACATATAATAAAATTCCTGAATATGGTAAATTACTCTTGCTGGTGGTGATCTTATGCTATCTGAATGGTTTTTAGACTTTCTATGTTTACATGAAAAGTATTTGTGTTTGTTAACTTATATGTTTGATTTCATTCTGCTGTAAATTTTCTCAGCTCTCAAGTTGCCTGTGTCTTAACTTTGAGACTTGATTTCTGTATCCATGGTTTGTGATTCTGATTCAGAGTCAATACACTAACAGAGTTTAACTCAGGGTAGCTCAGTACAGTGATTAGGCTATATAGCCTTGATGAATGCAGTTCAGAACTGGCAGAAGTGTATGTGTTTCCTCTCCACATCTGGACTGGACTGTCTGATCCAGCCTCCTGTTCAGTGTGCCAAAGGTTCTTTTCCTGGGGGTAAAGTGGTCAGGATGTAAAGCTGACTAGTCACCTCCATCAGGTGCTGAGGTTAAGAAAATGTGAAGCTGTACTAACATTCACACATCATGATGTGGGCAATTAAATATAGAAGCAACTTTACTTTTGCTTTTGCAGAAACAAAATGTTGCAAACATTGGTAGTTTACAGCAGTATGTGTAGTAATACCAGTGTAGTTTAATAATGAACATGTAGCCACAATATAATTGTTAGTGAATACTGTATGGTTAAAAAAGAGCATGCTTCAGTATAAAACGTTTTGCAAGTGTATCTTACCCCAGTTTGGGACATTCCCCATGGCCCAGGATTCATACCTAAAAATAATATCTTTTTTGTTGATGTACAAAACTTGTGAACAAAATCTGAATGCACATCATATGCATACTCTAGTGGATTGTAAATGTACTCAACTGGATCACAAAATAATAAGGCATTTAATCTGACACTCTGAAGTAACTCTGTTGTTAATAATCTGTGAGCTACTGAATCTGAACCTTCAGTTGCATTTGCCATCTGGAATGTAAAATGCAGGAGGTAAGTTGCATTATAAACGAAACTCCTGCATTTGACCTTTTAGATTTGCGTGAACGTAAATATCACTCATGTCTTGTCACATTTTCTTCGCTACAAAAACGACACTCACCCGAATCCTACATTTTTAGGTTTCAAGGAAATTTATCACTCCCGAATAGTATAAACATTGTTTCCCCACCAGCGCTATTTATGGACAAATGTGGAACATATGTTACCAATACGAAACGCACCAGACATGGCCTCCTTTAAAATGGCGTTGTTGCTAGTGCCGCAGTCGCGAACTGTTTCCAGTTTGGTTGGATTTAAAGAGTCGGGACTTGCGGTCATTTTCTGAAAACACCGCGTGTGTTTTGTCAGCTGTGTATTTTGGTTTATTACGTCATATAAGATGTAGTGGGTGTGGTTAGATTTAAATCGGTGTCATTTAATCAAAATTTTCTATAGTTCATTTGCAATGGCTTCACGATCTTTTGAACACATTACTTCTCCATTTGAAAATGTTTTTAGTTTTTTGGGAAGTCTGCCGCAAGGTCATGAAAAGGCAGTGAAACATGCTCTTTATAATGCACTGGCGTTATTCTTGTTATTAATATCTAGTGCAGCCGGTTGGGGATTATTTATTATTTTGGGTCCTTTCATTAAACCATTAGTATGGGCCCTATTGTGTGGTTCTGTGCTTCACCCATTCAAATATTCATTGGCAGCTATACTTCAGTCATGGTTGCAAACATTGGAGTCTAGTTCAACATTACTGTTTTTTGGCATTCTGATGGTTCCTGTAAATATAATAGATGATATTTCAGAGAAGATAGGAGGACAGCTTGCTAAACATGTGAAGGCTCTTCTTGTAATAGGAGTTACTGCTGTTGTACTACATGTATTTTACTGTTACACCCCACATGTATGCATCTGCCTTATTTGGCGTTTGGGGTTGTATAGCAATGCAGCTCTGTCTTGGGTCATAGGACATATCAGTACAACAATTGTAAGTTCTGAATTTGGTATCAATTTGTACACAAGGTATTTTTCTTGGCTTATGGCAACTGTAGTGTTTTCTGAAACATTGGAAGACCAGCATTTGTTATGGCATATCCCCAAAGGTTGATGTTACTAAACTTCAGCTGTGATAACCTAAGGACCAACTTATATACTAAAACAAGAACCATATGGTGGAATAGTAGGTAGCTGAAATAAGATATAAGTGATTGCATATGAATGGCATTCTGTAGAAAACATGGTACATATTACAGTAATTGTCTGTCATCCTAAACAGTTTTTATAAACAGGTGCTTCAAAGTGACAACTGCAGATTTAAGATGAATAGCCTTCTATTGTATGTTTCTTTCATTAAGCTTGAAAGTGATTAAATTTAAACCATAGAGTTAAGTGCATATATGCCTGCTTCATTTAGTTTTAAATTTGAATGTTAACGGGTGTTAACTTGCAATGGTAGTTTTTCCATTGATTGTTTTCTGCAGTAACATTTTTTTTAATGTCAGAAATAGATAACAAATGTAGCCCTTTCAATCCTCTGAGTATGTGACAATGTCATGACTAAATTTCAACAAACCAGTTTAATTTGAAACACACATGGATATATGTGCAAGAGAGTAAATAATTTCTTAAACTCAAACAACATCCTTGTCGAGGAGCAATTTGGATTTAGGAAAAATCTCTCAACAGAAAAGGCTCTATTTAGTTTGACAAATGAAATTGTATGTGCCCTTAACAATAAAATGCATGTGGGTGGAATATCTTGTGACCTAGCCAAGGCATTTGATTGTGTAAACCATGAAATATTACTAATGAAACTGAAATTTTATGGGATTCGAGGTATAGCAGGACAATGGTTTTAATCCTACCTAAATAATAGAACGCAGAAAGTAGAAATTGAAAGCCCCCACACCAATCATAATACCT